TGGTTTTATCTAAATACCCGATTAATAAGATGTTTTTTTCATAAAAAAAATTTAAAACTTATAACGCAATAAAAAACTTTACCTTTTTTAAACATTTTATGTCTAAAAATTTGAAAAGACAGATAATTTGTTAGAGATCAAGAGATCACAAGAAATATACAAAATGATATATAGATTTGAGAGTTTAATTTCAAGTGTAAAAAGCAACGAATAATGATTTAGAATTTAAATTATTTTAAAAGTAAAAAATTATTATCTTTTCACATTAACGATTTTATCCTAGTATGTAATCAATGAAATATGATATTTACAATTTTTTTTTTGAAAGATATCATATTATTGTCATGTAACTAACAACAACGAATAAAATACAAAACAACAATAAATTAAGTCGCATTATAATTAAAAAATTTATACTTTTGTAATTGGCAATATCATTTAATTAAATTATTATTTGTTTTTTTTTTGTCTGAAATTATTAAATTGTAAAATAAATCAAATAATTATAAAAAAAATTAAAAAACTTAGAGTATATAGGAAATATCTTTTCTTAAGATATATGTACGAAAAATCGTGCATCGCACGGGTTTTCATCTAGTAAAAAAGAAAGGTGGGAGTTTCTTAAATATATGTGAACTTTAAAATATGAAGGGATTCTCGCACATCTCTAGTATGAGTTAGTACTAATTAAGGTATATCCCCAACAAAAAAATAGTATATGGTGTCATACTCTTCTTCTTAAATTGGTTTAACAAGGAGAGTATTAAACATGCTTTAAAGGTCTATTGAAAATAAAAGCTATAACTATTACACCCCTTATTTTCACCTTTCTTCTTTTATTGGACTCATTCAACCTAAAAGTCTTTTGTTTGTATGAAGTATACAATAGGCACAACAAGTCAAATTGATATGGACTCACTATGAATTTATTAAAAGAGTACATTACTTAAAGTTAATTGGTGAATAGTGCTAAATTAAATGTCAAATATTGCATGTTTAAAAAAAAAAAAAAAAAAAAGGTCAAATGTTGCAAGAGTTGTGAAACAAAATTGTATTTTACCAAACATTAATGATTTGATTGTATATGCAATATGCGTATGGCATTAATTTACAATAATATAAATCTTCAAAATACTTTACTATGTACATACACGACTATGATCTTCATTATTTCACCTTTTTCTTTTTTACCAATCTATTGAATCATTTTTTGTAGAAAAACTAAGTACTAATAATTTTTTTGACAAGAAAGAAAAGGGATTTCACTAATAAAATATAACCAAATGCCACTTACATAAAATTTCTAAGAAAACAAGAATTTCAACACAAGTACATAATACCTTAAAACTAAATACATCGCAGCAGATTCGATCAACAAACGTCTTAATAAAAAATTTCATCAGAAGCAATACAATTTGTGAGTTAGCACTGATTCGGCTTGAAATCAGCTGATGCATAGTCGTTTGACTGAAAATACTCATGTGGTCCTTTGGATTCTTATGGAGATTATGAAACCCTAACCTTCAATTCTCGCCATACAAACTGAAATAGAAAGTAAACATAAGAGGAAAAAAAAAGTAAATAGAAAATGAGATCTATTTATTGAAAGCAATTAAAAGGTTTTTGGGCTTACCACCGGTAAAAACATCGATAGAAGCCCCTATAAAGATTCACAACTAGGACCAAGAGGAAAAGAGATGAAGAGAAAGGGGAGAAGAAGAGAAGGAAAACATTAAAAAAAAATTAAAAAAAATAAAAAAAACCTAGTAATGGAGGTTAGGAAAACCCTTCCAAAGAAGAACCCATAAAGGGAACCAAGAAAGACCCTCCCAATTAAGGAGAAAACCTAGAGGGAACCTTAACTAAGTACTAATCATAATTGTTTATTATCAATTAGAAATTATAAATATCCATCAATATGTCTTGCATATGTCAAAGGGTTTAGCAAAGGATAATTTTTTTTTTTTTTTTTTTTTGAATGGAAAGAATTGTAATTAAGATTTGATTTGATAAACAACTAATTAATTATTTATACGTGGTATTTTATTTTATTAACCCTTGTTATAATCAATTTCACTTATACTTGACCAAGTTTGTTTGCACATCCCTATTATCAACTTAATCTTATTAATTATTTTTTTGACAAGAGGTATGTACTCGTATATTTTCATATGATGTAATGTAAACTTAATAATCGTGAGAGTAGCTTTGGAATCTTGAATTTGTTATTATAAAATTTGCTTATGATATATTGAGGATTTATTAAATGGAGATAGAAGAGTCAAATTTGAGATCAAATGAATTAATGAAGTACATAAAAATAAAATAATTGATTGTTGATTACTTTGGAATTTTCCATCATGACATAATATAGAAAATCTTTAAATCATCTTTAGTTATATGAAAACATCTATATGATGTTTAGGTTATGTCCAAAATGAATAAATTACTAGATTTTTATTTTAAATGAAACTGATTGAACGTAGACACGTTTATGGGCAAATAACATAAAATAGTTGAAATGTAGGAGAGTGAGCATTACATCATGGATTCATGGATGAGTATTATTGGTGTCCTTGAAATTGGGTGAATGCATGGGAGTTGGTTGGGGGTAATACTTGGCTTTTACTCTTTTAGTGACTACTTTCTATTTTCATTTAACCATCTTAATGTTTTACTTCGGTTCATAAAGATTTTTATGTTTCTATTTATGTGTTTGAGTTTTGGTCGTAGTTGATAGTGTTAGATAAAGAAAATACCTTATTATGTGGATTTTATTGGTTGTAGTTAAAACGCGATAGCTTGTTTCTATAGCTTTCAAATGACTAGTTATGTGTCCATTTAAAATAAAAATGAGAATGTTATGAATATTTTACAACACAAAGTTAAAAACTTCTTCAGATATTTGCTCGAACTTTCCTTTGCATCAGTTTTGTTTTTCTCTAGATTTTGTTTCCTAATATTTTGTATATATATGCTCATGAGTCATGACCCTATCAATGGTATTTCTTAACGAATAATTTAGGGGATGATTTTTTTAAGGGAATGAAGTAGGGCACATTGGATGGAAAACAAGATACGTGTGTGAGAAGAAGTCAAGCCCATTTATTTTTAAAAGATTTTCCAAGAGGGAGAGTGTTCTACCTTTTCATTGTATACCTTACTCAATCCTATATGAAAGCTAATAAAAAAACTATTCCTTATTTCGCAGAGACGATCATGTTGAATGAACCACGTAAATATGATTGTTCATCTTCTCTGCATTTACTTCTCATATATTTATAATTTATATATTACTGTTGCAAATCAAATACAATATCTAAATCAATCGATCAGCACAAATCAAACTTTAATGTACCCTTTTATTTTTAGTATTCCAAAGTAAAAGAAATAAGTTTGTTCCACACAAATCAAACTCGATATCTGAATCAAGCGATTCCATAACAGTAAAATCTAATTCGTCCTACAATCTGACACAAAAACTTTCGGCAGTAGCAACCAATATACTACCAAACCATTTTCGTATATTAGACATCTACACTAGAACGGTACCAGAAAAGATTTGAAATATACGCAATACACTAGATTAAGTATTAGACTAATGTTTTTGTTGGGTCAACTCTGAGCACCTCCCTTAGAATAAAAGTACAATACTTTCCGACATTTCCTTAAATCACCTGCCTCGTGCAAATCTTTCTTTTTTGTTTTTTGGGTTAACTACTTAACTTGCTCTTTTAAACATTGTATACTCGTACAATTTCCTTGAATCTGCTTAGGCGTCGGAAATGTTGCTTTGGTTCAATGTTTTGGAGATTCTTCGTTTGAATTTTGAAGACTATACTATAAATAAATCACTTTGATTTTGATGGGTAGACTAAATTTTATAACATTATATTATATAGTTTATAGTATATAGTATGGTGTGATATATGGGAAAGGGATAATTGTCTTCAAACTAATCCATGAACAACCCCACACGGTCCAATGCTTGTTACCAACTATAGTTCTTCCCTCCATCTCCGCTATATGGTTGCCTCAATGCTTCCCACGCTCCACCTTAACCTAATCATAATATTTTTAATGTCACAAGTGTAAAAAATATACTACTTTTTTCACTATATTTGTATACCTTATGTTTTAGGTTGTTTAATTTATAATCCGTATTAGTTACCACACAATCGATCTATGTAAGCATGACATTATACTGTTAGTCATAATTTTTCTCTTATGTAACTAATACATCGTATTTAATATGTAGGTAAAAATAAATGCATATATATTACTTTATGAATAGTTTCCCTAAATTTATTCCATGCCATACATATACAATAAAATAAAGGAATGTGCTTGTACATGATTTGATCTCTTGATCTCAAGTTTATACATACTAAAGTTTTAATCACTAACCATTAAACAATTGATGTTATCTTAGCTTCTCAATGTTACTTGTGCTTAGAACAGTTCACATTGGAAGATTACTTGAGTAAGTGGAAATCCAAAACTCCGCATCTTTATAATTGATAAATAACCCTGACCGAATGTGATCATCGCATAGGGACAAATTAGTTAACACTAATAAACACATTCAACATCCAATGAATGTTAGGAAGTTTATCTTGAAATCTTGGATATATTAAAAGTACTTAAAGGGAAGAAAATCATCAAATAATGTTCATAAGGTAAGGTTACTTTACACAAGAATAAATTCCCATTAAATGGGTTGGCTTAGTCATCCTCTATCCTCTATCATTGCAATAGAGAGAGAAAAATAAAGCATGATTATATAATTCCCAACAATAATTTACTGTAGCATATATATTCGCGGACCAAGTACTCTTCCCTTTTTCTTCATTTATAACATCCAATAGTTTAAAAAATTTCCTAAGTTTTGCTTTTGTCCAATCATGTGACTAATATTCCCATTATTTAAATTAATGCTAAAAAAATAATTACCCTAAATTTATTTTATGATTTATATATATAAGCACCACTTTGCTGCGTATATATGATCAATTCCCTCCTCTCTCTTTCTCTCTCTAAAAACTTTTTTCTTCCCAACTTTCTCTTTCCTCCAAATTCATGAACAGAGCATAATCTATAATTTTTCTTAAAAATTTAGCATAAACCCATTTTGTCTCTCAATTTTCTGTAAATTTTTTCATTAAATTTCAAATTTTGAGAAATTTGATTTCTTGGAAAATATTTTTTTTTCTCAAGGAAAACAAACATTCTACTAAAACAGAGTATCTCTGTTTTTTTCTCTTTATTTTTTTTTATCAAAATGATGAAGAAAACAAACTGCAATAATAACAATAATTACAACAATAATAATCACAATAATGTTGGAAAAATGGGGGGTTTAGAATGGGAAATGAGGCCAGGAGGAATGTTAGTTCAAAAGAGGAATTTGGATTCCAATAGAAATTATTCCATTCCAATTCCCACAATCAAAGTTTTAGTGAAATATGGTTCTTATTACCATGAAATTCACATTAATTCTCATGCTACTTTTGGTAAGTTTCATTTATTTTGTTAAAATTTAATTCCCTTTCCTCTTATAATATGAATTGATGATAATGATTGCGAATTTGTGATTTTACAGGAGAATTAAAGAAAATGTTAGCAGAAGTAACAGGGTTACAGCCACAAGATCAGAAATTAATCTTCAAAGACAAAGAAAGAGAATCAAAATCATTCCTTGATGTTTCTGGTGTTAAAGATGGATCAAAGATTGTTCTTGTACAAGATATCATTAGCCAAGAGAAAAGATTTCTCGAATCGCGTCGAAATTCGAATATGGAAAGGGCAATGAAATCTGTAGTCGAGGTTGCCATTGAAGTTGATCAGCTTATTAGCCAGGTAAATTTTTCTCTATTTTTTTTGTTTAATTTTTTATTTTTTGATTTTTGGTATTTAAGTGATGATTTATTTATGTTGTTTGCTTAATTATGTACTCCTATTAATTTTATATAGGTAAAAGCAAAGGAATCAGTAATTTGTAAAGGTGGGAGAGTTGCTGAGAAAGAATTGTTGACTTTGATTGAATTGTTGATGTCTCAAATGATAAAGTTGGATGGTATTGTAGCTGATGGAGAAGTAAAGTTGAAAAGGAAAACACAGGTACTAATTTATTTATTTATTTATTTTGATATTTTGTTTAAAAAAATTGGAAGTCATTAATAACATAATTATTGTTACTCCCTCTGGTCCCTAAAAGAACTACCCTTTTGGACATTTTTTACGGATATTAAGAAACTTAAGTGGAAGGTACAAGTGTATGGGAAAGTTTATAGAAAGTATATTGAAAAGGTAAATATACATAAGATTTGTAAAAAAAAGTAGAAAGAGAAAGTAATAAAAGTATACGGAAAAAGCAAAATTTACATGGAAGAGCTAATTTTGCACAAATATTATTGTAAATTGGAGGGTATTTAATGCAAATGGGATAAACAATTTGGAACTAAAATTTGGTCAAAAGGGTCGTTCTTTTAAGGTGGAGGGAGAAATAATTATGTAAATAAAGTAATTAATTTTGACGATTTATTTTGTTTATGAAGGTGGTTAGGATTCAAAAATATATCGAAATTCTCGATCGATTGAAGGCTCAAAATGCAATGGCAACGACTCGATATGGTGGTAGTCAAGTTGGGTTAGTTGTCTCACAACAGCAACAAAGAGAGCAGAGGAATTTCTCCAATGGACTCATGTTGACATCAAAGTGGGAGAAATATTGAAGATATTGAGACTTAATAAATCTTGATAGTTTGTATACATTTTAATAATGGATTATGGTACTGTTAAGTTTATTGATCGTGAAAAGTCAAATGTTGTGCTTCTTAGAAGAATGCTAATGTAATGTATATAGCAAATATAAATAGCTAGTATAGTGCGTAGTTAAGGTGTTTTGATTGCTAGGTAATGGAATTGCCCCATCTTGGTTGTTTCTAGCCATAGGTTTTTACTTGTAGTACCATATAGTATAATCCACCAATTCCTTTCTTTTTTTTACTCTCAATTCATTTGTGGGATATAAGGAATATAATTTTGGGTTAATATTCTTCTTCTTTAGCTTTTGTCTCGTTTTCTTAAGTTGTTTAATGAATGCTAAAAAAAAGAGGATAACGAATGGGAACAACACATGGCATTACTTTTTTAATTTTTTTTTTCACCAATAATAATTCCACAAAAATATAAATCTTAATCGATTAATTAGATGATCAAAATAAATTCGAATATATTTAAATGAGGGTTAATAAGTGTTTATAACTTTAGATATGATAAATTTTCAGTTTACAACTAAATACGGACTACAAAGTATAACTTCTACGAGTAATAAGTTCATAAGAATAATATTTTTTTCATGTGAAAAAACTAATAAGTTGCAATGGTATAGCAAAAGAATTATGTAACTCCCGCAAAAAAGAAGTTATACTCCGTTACTTGCAAGTGAAAAGAAATATGTGTTGGAATAAGTTGCAATTGGATAGCGAGTTAGCGACTCCAATTACTCCGTAAGTCCGTAATTTATGCAAGTGTTTTTCATGCCTAAAAACCTTTTTTGCCAATTAAATTCACTTATGAATAACATCTCAATTAAATGCTCTAATTAATAACATCCCAATACCCATTCAAAAAATATAATAACATCTCTCCATGTTTTTAATGTTTATTTTGAATCTTTACTTAAATGATTTAAATGTATTTTCCTTCTATATTTATCTATAGATTATTACTCCGTACATTTCAACTTTAGACGAGCATTATTTTTTATAATACTTTGAAGATATTTCAGTGTGCATTATATTTGTGCAAAAAGTGAAATCACTACTATAAAAAGGGGAATACACATCGCCTCAAACAAGCAATATAGATCGCCTCCAAGGCGCTCTACTGGTGGGGTGCTTTATAGTCTATAGAGCGCCTCTTGGAGGCGTTCTATATCTAATATAATACAGAACGCTTATCTCAGATAGGCGCTTCTTATTCTAGTCCTAAAGTAGAGGTGTCCACCGTGCGAGTCGTGCGAGCTGGGTTAGGGTTAGGTGGGTCGCGGGTTGGGGTTTCATGACACACGGCACGACACACGTAGGGTAGGGTGGGCCGGGTCGTGGGTTGGTTCGGAGAAGTTGGACACACCAGGGTTAGGTTCGTGGGTTAGACGAGTCGTGGGTGGGTCGAGCTGGGTTTGTGGGTTAGACGGATCGTGGGTGGGTCGAGCTGGGTTTGTGGGTTAGACGGGTCATGGGTGGGTCGAGCTAGGTTCGTGGGTTAGACGGGTCAAGGTGGGTTAGTGAGTTAGGGTGGGTCGAAGGGTGGGTTAGTGGGTTAGGGTCGGGTGGGTTTGTGGGTTAGGTGGGTTAGGGTCGGGTGGGTTAGTGGGTTAGGGTCGGGTGGGTTTGTGGGTTAGGTGGGTTAGGGTCGGGTGGGTTAGGGTCGGGTGGGTTGTGTGGTGTTTTAATTTTTACAAAATTAACAATTTGATGGCTTGCTCTTAATTAAGATGCCTACGTATCCTTATATTATAAAATAAGGAATCAAAGCCAGCGTAGTTCTTATATTGTACTTCTTTTGAAATTTGGGGGGGGGGGGGGCTTGGACCTATCTTTAGAAAACTAAAATTTAATTTTGCAATTAAATTGTAATTTTCGAAAAATAAGTTGCCTACGTATCCCGAAAGAATCAAAGCCCACGTAGTTCTTAGCGTACTTGATTTAGACTTTTCTAGCCACCCATGTTTGTTGCATCATCATCCCCGGAAGCTGCATCATCCGTTGACGACTCCAATATCATCACAGGATCATCTTCATCGTCTTCGTCTTCCTTTAAACCTTGAGTTCTTCTTTCAGCTTGATCCCAATCTTTCTTACAAACACAAATTTGAATGCTTTCCGGAGTTAAGCGAGATCTTTTTTCATCTAACACTCTTCTACCTGCACTAAAAGCAGACTCGGAAGCAACAGATGAAGCGGGAACTGCAAGTATATCTTTTGCAATTCTCGCCAATATAGGAAAACTTTTTTTATGTTCTTGCCACCATTTTATAATTTGAAAGTTGTTGTTGGTCTCATGTTGATATGACAAATAATCATTAATAGCAAGTGTTGAAGAAGATGATGATGAGAATGATGTAGATGCTTTGTGTTTTTTTTTTCATAACTTTATCAAGAAAACCAAATCTAGAATCGGAAGTGCTAGTAGTAGTTGGTGTTGCCAAATCAAAACCATAAATAGATGCATAATGATCATAAAGGTCTCCCAAAACAGATTTGCATTTGTTAATATATTCACTAACATCATAATCGATACTTAAACTTGTATAATAAAATTCTAAAAGATTTTCCAAACCTTCAGCTTTGACACCGGGGTCAAGAATAGCAGCAATTCCATAAATGATTGGAAATTCACTAAAATAAGTATGCCACTTACGTTTCATGCTATCAAGAACGGGACGAAGTCCATCAATCTTCATATGCTCTTCGATGGTGTGAACAACTTTAACACACTCAATTATGACTAAATGAACGTTAGGCTCATAAATATAAGAGAAAATATGAGTTGCACTATCAAAAGCATTTAAAACATCACGAACAAAAGAAGCATTAGTCCAATGACTTTCGGTTATTAACTCAGTAGGATCAACACGAGTCTCATTGTAAAGTTGGGTCAAAATATCACGATACTTTATAGCATCACTCAACAACTTGAAAGTAGAATTCCAACGGGTAGGGGTATCAATAGACCATTGTCTTTTCTTAAGACCTCTCTCTTTACACATAGCTATGTACTTTCTTCTAACTGACTGAGTAATCCTAATCCATTTTATAACTGTTCTAATTGGGTTTAGCAATGGTTGCAACTCAGCGAGACCCTCTTGAACAGACAAATTCAAAATATGAGCACAACATCTAACATGCAAGAGACTACCACCCAACAACAAATTCAACTCGGAGTCATTTTTCAAATAGTCAATACACTTTGTGTTTGCAGTTGCATTATCAAGAGACAAAGAAAAAACTTTATTATTCAAGTGAAATTCTTTTAAACAATCCAAAATACGAACTTTGATGTTAAAACCGGTATGCCTTTCTTCCATAGCTTGAAAACATAGTATACGTTTTTGAATAAACCAATCATCATCCACGCAATGAGCAGTAATGCAAAGAAAAGGTTCGCCAAAACTAGAAGTCCATGTATCACTTGTAAAACTAACACGACCATCAAAAGTACGAAATAATTCAATCAAACCACTCCTATACTTATAATAAGAAGTTTGTGTATAACGTCTTAGGGTATTTCGGGGGACACGAGTAAATGCAGGTTGTAATGCAACTTTATTAAAATGCTCAACGTTTGCATTTTCACCGTAACTAAAAGGGTATTCATTAGCAATAACTAAAGTACTCATTTCATCAATCATTCTATCTTTATTATAAATGAAAGGTGTACCTCCGCCGGGTTGGTTCATGTATCCACCCAATTGTGTTTGGACGCCACCCCCCGAAGGACGGGGGCCATTTTCGAACAAGTCGTGTTTATTTTGCAAATGCCGACTCAAGGTTCCGGTTCCATCTCCCGTTTTCCAATTATATGACTTGACATTTGCACCTAGCGCCTTGCAAACTAGGCATGTACACGTGAACCTCTTTGGTTGACCAGGTTGCCATCCCGGGGGTGTGACCTCAACTCGTTCAAAATGTTTCCACACCCAAGAAAAATGTGCTCGACCTCTACTTTCACCGCCACCACCTTTCATAAATCAAATTATTAAAATTAATTTTTAAATGCTATTCATGAAAATAAGCTTTTAAATTTTAAATATTTTAATTATACTTATTTAAACGCATTTTTCATGGTAATTAACTAATTGTAAATCATAGAAAATTGGAAACTAAACTAACTTTATAATCATTAATAATAGTTTTTTTAAATATTCATAACAATAAAAATTTAATTAGAAATTACCTTGAGATGAAGGTTGAGATGTTGGTTGCGATGGAGGTGGCATAGTTGAACTTGATGATTGGTGGGACTCGTGGGAGAAATGTTGTGGTGGAGACGTTTGAATATTTTGCCTATCTCCTAAACCATAATCTCCATATTCATTGACAAATTGGTTTAAATTTTCCGTATTAATTTCATACGAAAAATTTGCACCACCACTCCTTTGGCTACCACTTCGACCACCACTTTGACTTCTTCCCATTCCTCCTCTTGAGCTCATTTTTTTTTGTATGATTACTAATTATAATATGGAGAAGAACTTTTTTTTTTTAGAATCTTAAGAATACTAATAATAATATTAAGGAGATTTTTTTTTAACAAAAATATAACTCTATATAACACTTGAGAATTTGAGAACAATAAGAATTTTTAAGTAAGAGAGAAAGAAAGCTTGAATTTGTGTGGAAATTTGAGTGAAATGGAATTGGTATTTATAGGAAAAATAGAATGGATGATCATACACTTAAAAAACTAGCCGTTAGATACAAAAAACTGGCCGTTAGATACAAAAAACTAGCCGTTTTTTTTTTTAAAATGGATGTTAGGCCGTGCGGGTCGTGCGAATTGTGCGGGCTGTGCGGGCCGTGCGGGTTGTGCGGGTTGTGCCGGCCGTGCGGGTTGGGTGGGTCATGCGTGCGGGTTGGGTGGGTCATGCGTGCCGGTTAGGTGGGTTGGCTCGTGCGGGTTGGGTGGGTCATTCGTGCGGGTGGGCCGTGCGGGCTGGGTTGTGCCAGGTGGGTCGGGTTAGGTGGGTTCACGGGCTAGGTGTGTCGAATTAAATGAGTCAAAACGGGTTGTGCGATTTGGGTCGAATCAAACGGGTTAAACTGAGCTGGGTTGAAATGGGTTGTGTCAAAAATTTTGGACCCACGACACAACCCGGATTAAATCCGAGCTGTGCCGGGCTGTGCCGGATTGAAACCGGGTCGGACCCACGTGACCCACCAGCCGTGCGAGTTAGGGTGGGCTGGGTCCAACCCGGCCAACTGGCCACCTCTATCCTAAAGTAAATAAATTATAAGGAAAAGAGAGTTGTCATCTTAAGATAGGCGCTCTATAACTATGTAAAAAGAGAACGCGATGCTCTATAACTATGTAAAAAGAGAACACCTATCTATGAGGCGCTCTATTTTCCTTAAAAAAAATTTATTATTATTATTTGAAATAATAATAATAATAAATATATTACTTGAGAAAAAAATTTACAAATACAACTAATTAATACATGTACTCCGATCGTTTAAGAAAAAAAAAAAAATTATACTCCGTAATTATCAACGTGCAACCCATCAAATCCACCCACTCCCCCACCCACGACCCAAACTCACCACCACTGCCCCCAGGACCTACCTCCACGACCCACAGCACCCACACCACCTACAACACCCACGAAAAACCGCCACACTACCCAAAATTTAACACAAACAATTATCTCAAAACTAACAAATAGTAAAATCAGATGTAAGTACTAACAAGAACAACACAAATTACATCGAAAAATTCAAAAATTTGAAATCATACAATTAACTAAAAATATACTTCGTATATAACCTAAAATTACAATTATATCAAAAATTGATTATAATTAAAAATTTGAACTAAAAGCAATAACAAAAAAAAAAAAAAACGCGTTATATGTTGCGACGGTGGTGGGTTTCCATGGTGGCTTGTTGTTAAAGATTTTCATATGTTAATGTAAAATTTACTTTTACATGGATCCACATAGTTTAAGTTTTTACTTTTATTTTATTTATTTTTTTAATTAAACATTAACCTTGTTCAAATCACCTTAAAAAAAAATATTCATTAAAAATAATTTCAATTCAATAAAAATAATTCAGTTTAGTAAAATTAAGTTCAGTTCAGCAAAAAGAATTTAAGTTCATTCAACAAAAATAATTTCACTTTAATAAAACTAATTTTAGTTGAGCAAAAATAAGGTGAAGTGGGCCACAAATATATAATGTTAGTCTTATTATGATCATTTTATGGTAATTACTTTAACCATTTAAAGTTAGTGAGTGTCGTGAAAAATAGAGTTTTTTTCCTTAAGATAATATTTTGTTGGTCCATAAGCTTTACTTATTTTGATAGATTGACTAATATTATAGAGTGATTTGCTCTCAGTTATGTATAAAATCTTTATAATTATGTTGAATGGGACTTTCCTTGGGGATGTTTGTATGTCTTCTTTGGGGTTTAAAGACAATTGGATAAATTGTCTTTTCAAAGGTATTAGGACAAAGTTTCAAAATATTTCAATTCATGATTTTACTAGAGGAAGTCGGTAAAATTCCTTTAATAAGCTAATTATTGTATGGAATGTTATCTTGGCATCTTGCACGAGTTATATTTTTATCTCGACACTTTTTTTTCTTCTCTTTTCTCTTAGATTATACTTTCTATATTTAATTTAGAAAATTCACCATTTAAAAAAAAATGTGTTTCAAGGCACAACTTTAAACATAAATATTTTAAATCATTTATTAGTAAAAAAGTATAAAGACTATAAATTATGAAACTAATTCATTCATTTTCTCATTCTAAAAAATTTCACTTAATGTATCATTTTTACTACAATCTAGTCTTTGAAATCCTAGCCTTCTTAGCTTTCCCTTCATATATATGCATTGTTCTTTCATAACATTAGATCCAATAAAGGTTACAAACTTTCAATCAATATATAGTTCCCCCAAACCCTTTGTTTAATACATGCTATGTAATATGTAGTTTACAAATAGATTATGGTACGATTGAGAATTTGATATGAAGATGTGATTTATCATGTAAGTGTATTTTTTTTATAGCGAAAGTCTCTACTTTAACGAAAAATGCATAATCATCAAAGATTACACACGATACAAAATCATGGAATTGCATGCAAATTAAATACATTCGAGTTTGGTCATAGTTATTTATTTTGAAAGCTTAAGTAAACATGTATGCAAATGCAACGGTTTAAAATGTACAAGTAATATAATAATTAAAATAGTACAAAGTAACTCACTGTAGTTGTCAACTCGCATGTATAATTTTTAAAAACTTTCTTTCAGTCGTATTTTTTTTTTTTCAAGTACAGAAATTAATAATTTTTTTTTATATTGATTTTTACTTTTCAAAATCGCGTGTATAATTTCAAAAGATACTCAATTACTACTATTGGAGGGGGTAAATTATGATTTATAACGACAGGATTAAGAGTATTGTCATAAAGAAGACAAAAGAACATTATGAAAACATAAATACCATATGTTTCGTGGAAGGTTGCAAGAATAGCTATGTAATAATCACGGTTAAAGCTAGCTAGATTAGCTAGCTATATCTATTAGTAATAGTAATTAAAAGTATTAAACCAATCATGATAATGGAATGGCTGACTTTGGAGGCCATGATATATATATGGTGGATGGTATGATATTTGAATAATCATTTACCCTAATCATTTAATTAAGCCTGCATATTTAGAAGTATAATTTAAATGTTTATTCAACTAATCCAATCAAAAAAATATTCTCCACTACAAATGTTGGAAGAATATGTACATAGTGCTTTGTGAAGCCATTGGATTGACTAACTTAATACGAAGTATAGTTTCTCTTGTCTAAATGTCTGATAATCTTAAAATTAGTGCGTGCTATAGAATAGTTTAATGCCCTAGGAATCCAATGATTAAGAGAGGATTTCTTAGATGGATGTGGTGTAATTTTAGTTAGTAGCCAATTAAACACTATATTGAAATTACTTGCTTTTGTTTAGTTAATCTATTAGCAACTTAGCATAGCATCTGTCCCAACAATTTTAATTACCTGTATACATATCCGATCCATTTATTTGAAATTATAAGTTCTTTTAAGAGTATCATCTTTTTTACGAGGAAATAAAAACTAGATTAGTCGTCCATGCAATGTAATAAGACAAATGTAACTATAATTTAGTAGAACAAATCCAATTACAAGAATTAAACCATTAAAACATGGAGTGATAATTATAATCATAATTACGCGAGAAGCCGAGAAATCTGTGGCTTGACTTGCCTCCCAAAACAGTGGTAAAAAGGAACTACCAGTAATTATAATTTCAGAGGATCCTTCTTCGGCCACATCCACATTGTATATCTATATTATGTCGAAAATAGGCATAGACATATTCCATTGTTACTTACTTAGAGAAGCTTTTGCGTGAGACTGAATTCACTGTGAGTCCAATATATTTGACGATAATATTTTAATCACAATTTTTTGTATGCGGCCTGACCTGTACCGTGCGGCAGGGATTACTCGAGTTACTCGGTTAGGACTTACTCGAGTTGTTACTCGAGTTTCTCAGCCAGGGGTTACTCGAGTTGTCGAGGTTAGTCGAATTACTCGGTCAGGGGTTACTCGAGTTGTCGGGGTTACTCAAGTTACTAGGTCAGGGGTTTACTTGAGTTACTCTTGACCGAGTAACCCCTCAAGTAACCCCTGAGTGGGTAACCCCTCAAGTAACCCCTGAATAAATCCTCAAGTAACCCCTGACCGAACTCTTTAAGTAACCCCTGACCGAACTCTTTAAGTAACCCCTGACTGAATTACTTAAAAAACCCCTGACCGAACTCGAGTAACCCTTGACCGAGTAACTCGAATAACCCATGACCGAGTAACTCGAGTAACCCCTGACCGAGTAACTCGAATAACCCATGACCGAGTAACTCGAGTAACCCCTGACCGAGTAACTCGAGTAACCCCTGACCGAGTAACTCGAGTAACCCCTGACCGAGTAACTCGAATAACCCATGACCGAGTAACTCGAGTAACCCCTGACCGAGTAACTCGAGTTACCCCTGACCGAGTAATTCAAGTAACCCCTGACTGAATAATTCGGGTAATCCCTAATAAAATAACTCGGGTAACCCCTGCCACACGGTGTGGTCTGCTGCACCAAAAAGTTGTTGTATTCTATTATCTGATAATAATATTCTAATATATGACATTAATATTCTAATATCTGACAATAATATTATAATATATGACATTAATAATCTAATATCTGACATTAATAATCTAATGTCAGATTATTATTAATGTCGAATAGAAATTATTAATGTCTATTAAAATATTAATGTTATATATTAGAATATTATTGTGAGATATTAAATTATTATTGTCAGATATATTGGACTCACTGTGAGTTCGATTCACCCAAATTTTTTTTTACTTATTTGATAATGTTGATGATGCAAAGATAATTTCCTTCAAGTATAAGACGTGTGATCTCAGGAAACATTATTATTTGAATTTTTGATACTATATTGTATGAAATTAATAAAATTTTCTCATATATTAAAAAGTCAAAATTCAATCAAATCAAAAGATCGATAAAATCAAACTAGACCAAGCTAAGTTAAAAAAGATCAGATTTAACCAATTCAAACCTTATAAAATTCATATTAGGTAATCTTATTTCAGATAAAGAGAACTATATAGCCTTATTATATTAGTCTCTCAAATATGGTTAAAAAATTCATTATTTATAAATGAAAAACTAGTAACCCTACCTAGCCATTTTGTCCTTATTCATAAACTCGTCAAATAGGCCAAGGTGGATGTCTATGCACTCAGGTCTCAGGGGTTCAAATTTCATCATCGATCATATATGCCCCATCACCCACTTAACTGGATATCCATATTTATTTAACACCCATCTTACCTGTTCTACCACCTATCTACTTACTTAATCCATCCCACATTACGCCAAAAAAAAGATTTTATAGCGCTTTTATTATAGCGGTTTTGTTAAGAGTGCTATAAAATAGTCAATTAAAATCTATCACTATTATAGCGGTTCTTTAATAACCGCTATTAATAATATAACTATTATAGCGGTTTTCAAGTAACCGCTATTAAAAGCTATTTGTGGTACAGCTGAAACAAAAACCTTCATTTGTCTACATTACTTTCTCACCTTGAATTAATGGTCGTTGTTCATTATTAAAAATCTCATTACTCTAAGTCACTCAGAAACAAATTTTCTAGCTGTTCTTTTTATTTCAATTTTCTTATGCTTAGCCTTTTGGATCTAGGTATCAAAAATTGGGGTATCGTTTCTGATTTTAATTAATTGTGAAGCTTCTGTTTTTGCTTCTCAAAATCTGTATATTAATCTTTTATGTTTCCTCTTTTCAGTATCATCACAAAATTGGGGTTCCAAATATTCAAATTAGTTAAAGCATGACACTTGAAATTGGTATGAACAATCCATCCTAATCTTATTGTTTCCGGTTTATAACTGCTGAATTTGTGGGTGTTTTTTTTTAGAATTGAATTGTTGATTGATATGGAGTAGTTAACTAGATTAGTTTTACAAGCCCTAGATCTAGGATGTTCTAATTTGTTTCATGACTCAATTGTGCATTTTAGTAGTTCAGTACATGCATTTTGGGATTTAATATTCACTACTTCACTAGTAGTTTTTCATTGTAGTATTTATCATATTATTCATATGTATATTGTTTCTAATGCAAAAATTTTCCATCAACATTTGTTTTTCAGGTTCATGTTTAAGTTACAACCAAAATCAAGATTGATCAAATCTGATTGAATTTAAGGTGCCAAGCAAGATGATTGAGTTTTCCCATAACTAGTACATAGATTACAGGAATGTATATCCGTAATAAATTTCATGAACATTACAGATGAATTAGTTTTACCATAGTATAACTTTTGTTATGTTTTTATTAGATTGTATTAGTGTTTTTTTTTTTTTTTTTTTTTTTTTTTTTTTTTTTTTTGGAGGGATTATTAGATTGTATTGGTTGTATTATGGGAATATCCATTATTTATATTTAATTTATGCATAAACATATTTTATGTTATTTTTTCATAAATATTTAAGGTTTGATGTTATATTAGGTATATTCATGCGTAAATGTGTTTTTTTTTTTTTTTTTTTTGGAAATACAAAATCTTTTTATAGCGGTTCTTATAAAAACGCTGTTAAAAGAAGATATGATGTACAACCTAGAAGCACTTACTGTAGCAATTTTCTGAACTGCTATTAAAAGGCATCTTATGTTTTTATAGCGGAGTGATTAATAGCGGTTCAAGAACCGCTATAAAAAGAAATTTTAACCGCTGTAAAATGATAATTTTGGCGTAGTGACAAAATTCACCACACATGCCTAAACCAAGTATTTATTTCAACACATATAATTACATAATTCTAGATGTACCATACACTTAGGTCCATCCTAGGGTCCATGAGACATATTTACACCCCATCTTCCTTTAAGAGTTTATGATTACAAAGCTAGTACTTATCTACTTACTTACATAAAGAAGATATAATGTGCATAGATAATGAAACATCAATATTTCTATGGATGAATATGTAACACAAATTTATATAAGGGTACACATGGATCATATTGAAAGATGCACACCATGTGGGCAAGTATAGCATCTAGGTGCTCCAAATAAGTTACACAAATATATGTAGTGTGAAAAAATAAAAAATAAAAGAAAGGTGAAAGCAAAAGCAAAGGTTGAAGGCACAGTTGTTTTTGCTGGGGGTTAGGCACATCATAAATACCTTGAGTGCCATGTGCTTAATGAATGCCAGATTGGATTTGGGGACCATATTAGCAAAGCCACGAGCCTAGGAGAAATCATACTCAAAATCAGACACTGTGTTTTGTCAGAATATACATATACTTAGAATGAATAGGTTTTACTTTCCACTTTACATATCATTCACTCAATCTATCCTTCCTTCAAAGTAGGGAGATTTTTGCATTTATTCTTTTTGTTCCTAAATAATCACGGTGTTTTTTATATAGAGATAGTCGCAAAAATAATGTTATAGACAGATAATTACAAAGAGATATTGAACATAATAACCAATTTTCTAAGATGTATAGTTAATTGTTTATGTAATGTATACTCTTACCAGATATGAGCTTAAGAAGCTATATAAAAAGGGGCTAAAATGTGAGTTTAGCTAGTTAAAGTGAAAAATATAGATAAATTTTAAAGTGTTAAAAGAACCTACTATAACTTTTATGTCACGTTGGCTCTTGATATCATGTTAAAAGACCAACTTAATCAAAAACTTAAACTGATGGTTGAAGCCCAAGATCAGTTTATATTATCTATCATACAGAATACTATTATTAAAGAATAAGATTTTGAGTGAAATGAAACAGAAAAAGCTGATGAGTAATTCTACAACTGTTTCTTTTTATTTGTAACAAGGGGTATTTTATGTGAAACATAAATAATTTATTTTTTATAAATAAAAATAAACAGAGGTAGTACCATAGTATACAGTAATACAAGTAGAAAATAGAATTTCTACAATTACTAAAATCAGTTGAATATCATTGTCCAAGAATATTGTCATTTTGTGTTGTATTAAATGTTTCTGCAATATTACTGTATTATTTAGTTGACAGGAGGATGTTAAGATTGTCTCCATTTTTTATGTCTATCTCAATTGTCCAGCTCATATTCATAAGGTTTGATTTTTTATTGGTTCTTGAACGTGAGATTTTGAATTTGTGATGCAAATTCTTACAACACTACTGGTCTATTCCTATAATATTAGCTCTCCCTCAAAATGAGAACTAAACCAATTAAATAAAAGAATGCAGTATAGATCTTTATCATAAAAAAGGTGGCAATAATGATATAATGTGGCTATAGGTCACAAAAACTACTAAATCAATGATATATACATGTCACGAAATATTTTCAATGTACCATAATTAAAATAAATTTTCAGGCACAACAAAGTATTTGATTGAGTTTTAATGTGATAATCGATTAATATATTTTATCAGTTGGATACGAGACAATATTTTATCAAGTATTATAACTTTAATTCAAACAATAAACTACCGTTTATATTTATTATTAAACCCCTTAACAAGTTAGATTCTAGGTTAGTAGTTCGATGACCATTATACATGCAATGTAATCATACTTGCTCATGGAAAACAACTTGGTAGACAAAATTATTCATTAATTAAGCCAAGGTCACGAGGGCTTAGCTTGAATTAGCAATTAGTGGATTAAGGGTTGGCCTTTAATAATTATCAATATTGGATTAAATATCATGTGCCTATCAATCTTAGGCAAACTAAAAGTGAGTATATGTTGGAAATAAAACTAACTAATAAATTCATATCTCACCAAAATTCAATAAAAATAAAAAAATAACAACTTTGAATGATCCAAAAAAAATGTCACCCTCATATGAGCATTACTAATAATGACGAGGAAACATTATTTTGTGATATGTATTGTACTCCTTTTAATTTCATGGTTTCCTAGTCTTATTGCTGTCCAATTAGAATTTATATCATTGACCTTGCCCAAAAAAAAAAAAAAAAAAAAGGGTCTTTAGCACTTGGGATTATTTGTTTGAAAATAATGCAAAAATAAAGGACATGTTGGTTTCAATAATTAGGACAATTACCCTCACATGCCAACTAAGTTGGAATTGTGAGTTGGGATGAGAAGCACAAGACATGTAGAATTTATGTACCCCATCTGTTTTTTTAGCTTATTGATATTTCATCACCTTTCATTTTAATTTTGACGTGTTTTATTTTACGAACTTATTTTTTACTTTATTTTATTTTTTTGCAAACACATATCACTATATTATTTTATCTATGATTAACAATTTTTCTTTTTTTTTCGAGACATCCTACTCTTTCTTACACCCACCAGACCACCTCTATACCCTTACTATTCTTATACTCCATATTATTCATATTTTTCTTACTTCCATCTCTTTTTAAAACATAACAAAATTCCACACATTCTAGACCTTACGACCTTATTTCTCCTGCTTAGCATACATAGAAAGTGGAGTAGTTATTACTTATCTTTGGCTTCATTTTGATGTCACATTCATTGAAATTTAAAGACCCACAACTAGGAGTCTTAGGTAGCTTATAAGGAACAACGATCGTGGTATGGGACCAATTTGTTAAGTGTCAATACAAACATTATGAGAAATTGGAAAATTTAAAGGGAAAATAAAAACAATAATATGGCTAAGGCATTATAAATTTATTGAATGTATAAGACAAATTTTATTTGTTAGCTTCATTCAATATTTGTTTCACCAATGTGTGTATGTGTCAACGACAACTTTAACTATATTGCAGTAGATCGATCATTAAAATGAGTGATTCAATTTTTTTTAAGGTCTTAAATTAATTGTTTGATACTTGTATAAACGTTGAAATAATAATTTATGCTAAAAGTATGCATGATTAGGGAAGTGGGGTTAGGGAGGGATGGGTGTTTGGCTATTTTGGGGATGATTTTGAAAATTTGGTTGTTGTTTAAGGCAAATTATTGTGATGCACTTGTAATTGTTTGTTTGTAAGTGAATAGAGTTGTTTGTAAATGAATAGGAGAAATGACTCGAGGAAGAAGATTTAAGGGGGGCCAAAGGGGCGCGCCTCCTATATGCATGCCATTTCGACCATTGCTATATTTTACGGATGCACTCTAGTTTCTTTGTTTGTAAGTGTAAAGAGATTGTATTGTCAAATGTGTTTCCTCTAAGTATCTCAATTGTAATTTATCTTAAGTGTCCAAGTATAAATAACTTTTAATTTTATAAACCAATTACAAGTATATGTTCTACTATAGATGAAGGGACTATATGTTCGTTTACCACCTCTTTTTTAGAAAGGGTCGTGATAATAAGTGATGCCATAGATTTATAACAAATTGACTTCAATGGAGAATTATCTAACTAAACACAAATTGACCTGAATTTAAAGTTGTTTTTTTTTTTTTTTTTAAGCCACCTGAATTTAAAGTTGTTTAATTAGTATGACCTAAATTTAATATAACTTCTTCTCAAAAAAAAAAAAAAAAAAGAGAATAATATATAACTTAATTTAAATTTGGCCTACACATTTGATTTGGCAGTTTAATTAGAGAGATTGATCACGATCCGTGTGTTTATGAAAATCACACTTGGCTAATGATGATTAGATTCTTTTATCTCTTTTAAAAGAATGAAACAAAGTTAATAATCCATCCATTTCAATTTATAGCTAGTTTTAATTAATGTCTAACTAGTTTTGGCCTTGTGCATTGCACGGATACATAATAATAAGATTTTATTGTAATGATAGTCAATTGAAATAAAGTTAATTTTAATTAAATGACTTATATAATTTTATTTTTTTTGAAATTCAAATTTATTTAATATCTACCCTTAAAATTATGTGTTACATTATATATAAATTATTAAAAGAATTTTCACAAATTTTCATATATGGCTGACCATACCGTGTGGCCGAGATACTTATTGAAGGGTTACTTGGTCGGTCAGGGGTTACTCTCACACAGAAAACACGCTAACCGACTGAGTAACCCTAAAAATGAGTAATTTTTGACCGACTGAGTAAACCCTAAATAAGTAACCCCGGCCACACGATGTGGCCAGCCGTATAGAAAAAGCACTAAGCAATTTTCGTTTTTTTTTTTTTAATTTTTTTTTTAAGAAAAATAAAATAAAATTAAGAATGAACAAAAATTGTAACAAGTTAATTCCATGTATCATTAAGCTTGTAATGCAAAATAACATTTCATGAGACTTTAGAATGATATCCTGTAAATAAACATTTCATGAGAACTCTTTTTTTTTTTTTTTTTTTTTTTTTTGAACGGCAAACATTTCAGGAGACTTTTCATATTTAACTCTTTATTTAAACTTTTATAAGAAGTTGATAACTAACATAATAAAGTTCAAACGAAACAGAAGCGTTCATCGACGAATTCTTTGGACAAAGCATAACTGGCAAGTCTTTAAACTTTAAAGGCCCAACACAATTTGTGAGTCCATAATAAAGCCTGAAAACATGACAAAATGGCTAGCAACTTATCTAATAACTGATTGTACACTTGCACCTTGCTAGGTACGATTAGGCTTTAACCAAAAAAAAAAGGTACAATTAGGCCATAATGATATAGCCCATCTTTCTTTTCCAAGTTTTTTTAAAGAAAAAAAAAATAAAAAAATGTCTTTCTACATTTTATTAACAACCCGAATAAAAACAATTTAAATATCACCTCTATTTTCTATTATTCTAGCTAAGTGTACCCTAAAATATCCATGTACATGATTATGGAATGTGTAGACTGTTCTTGAGAGTTATTCGTATTGTTTAGAACTTTTTTAGTAAGAAGATTAGAGCATTCTACATTTAGGAAGTTTTCAGGCTTAGGGGATTGACTTATAAATAGGCACCGAGACTCATATTTATGAACAAGTTGAGTAAAGGCAAGTAATCTTCATCTAAATAATGGTGCTTCAATTAATTTCCATCCCAAGCTATATAATTTTGAAATGAAAAACGTTTGTATCCTTGGTCAAACATTTATACTTTATATTATATGATTCCAAAAAATTAGTTTTTGTTGTAGTGTCCTTGTGTTAGGACACAAATGGTTCCATAAAACTAGTGTTAGGGCCGTCTCAATCATCATGGAGACCCTTTGCAATTATATTAAAATTAAACCTTCGATAAATGAAATGTAAGATAAACTAACAAAATATATATATATATATATATATATATATATATATATATATATATATATATATATATCCTAATTAGACCAAAATCCTCATATTGATTTAAGAAATTCCTTATACCACTAAACCACGCCAAATTATTTCAGATTATATAGTTACACAACAAATTGGGTAAATTTGTTATAACATGAGAGTTCTCAAACAAAATTGATCATGCAGTGCAAACTATTTAATAACTAGTTTGTAGAAGTAAGATTTAATATGACATATAATTATATCGATCTACAAAGCCAGACAAAAAAAATCCTACAACTTAAAATATATATTGCCAATGATATGGTTAATGATGGTGTGTAGACATAATAGGAGGAATCACAATTAGAGTTTGAATCACAAATTATATATAATAATTAACTTGTTTGATTACATGAGATACTGATGATTAAATTGAAGGTATATATGATTAAATATCTAGAATTTAATTTAAAAATCAATATTATCAAACGCAAAACTCAGAAAATTTGTTCACCTACCGTTATATTTTATGTATTTATAAATGTATGATAAAATTTGTCAATAGTATCATCTAATATTTTTAATAATTTATATATAATTAAATAATATCAATGGAAAATATAAGCTAATGTAGTTAGTATCTTTGAAGTCTGAAAGTTATATTATTAATATTTTTCATAATTTATTAAGCATGATATTCAATTGAAAACATTATAGCTAATTAAATAATGTTTTGTAAAGAAGATACGTTTTCTGTTAATAGTAGGGCTAATTAAAGGTTTAAAGGTAAGACACTACTCATACACACTCGTTCAAACAGATTCCAACACTTTATAAAAAGCAAGATATACCTTCTATTAAAATCTATTAAGTGTCAATTATAGTGCTTCAACTAACTAATGAAACTAGTCTTTATATGCTTTGGATTCTAAACATGTATTTTATTAATATATATCATATTAATGCTGAGAGATTGACTACACATAAGATTAAATTATACACAAATTCTCTAAAAAGGTGGGTGCACGTTAATTTATTATAAGACGGGTTAAAGTTATGTTAAAAGTATTTAAAGTTACCTTTTATATTACAAAAGTTATTAATTTTCTAATAATAAATTTCATCTTACAAAAAACTTATAATGTATTAGATTAATCATATTAGCCTTTATAATACGTAATCATGAATTTATAAGAATTAAACATTAAAATAAAACTCAAACCAACGACAAATCAAAAGTTACCCTTTAAGGAGTTAAAGTTACTATAAAAAATAGTTAAAGTTACTCTCAAACTGACCATCTTACAATAAAATTAATATACACCCGCCTTATACAAGACTTATTGTAAATTATAGAAGGTTCCATCCCAAATAACCAAATGAAAATAAATAGGCTAATAAAGAAGTTTTTTTTTTTTTTTTTTTTGACAAGAAATATAAATAAAGAATTATCTCTTTAGAATATAATATAAAGTGAAAGTGAAGGATAGCTCAAGTGGTTAGAGCTCCCCTCCCGGTTCCAGGTCATCCTGAGATCGATTCTCATTACCAGCCTTTGTGGCTCTCTAATAACAGTGTGTTTTTAAAGGGAATTTCCATAATTATCGGATACCTATTATCTTTTCCCCCCATAAAGTCATGATATACAAAGTATAGGTTCCTTAGATAGTACTCCGTACCAACGATATTGAGATCGACAATTAATTATAGTCTAAGACAGAATTATCAATTACATAGTCACTTGTTTTGATTAAGACATTCTGTTCTCAAGACCTAAATAAGTCTATAGTGATTATTATTATTATTATTATTTTTTTTTTTTTTCAGTTTTGCAATTTGTAAAAACAATATACAATACAAACTAATTTAACCAAAAAAAATAAAAATAAAAAATTCCCTATTTGAATAATAATTGAAAATTGCGGGAACAATAAAAATCTATAGACTAGTACTCATTTTCAATGAAGTGTACAAAAATATCAAAGTTCCATTACTGACTTCACTCTCTATATAGCACAAATAGCCAAATACACGTTAGATGTAGGGCTTGAAATATACTTCTTGACTCTAACCTACGTGCCTTTGAATAATTCGTTAGGTACTTTACTCCTAATATCTTCTACCTTAATATAAATATCAATATAAATATAATATTAGTTTAAGAATATCATACTATGTTGAATAAAATGTATGGCACAACTTTTTTCCATGTGATATACCGATGACTGATTTTAATCATAATTAAGTTCTCTAATACACCTCGGATTTTTCAGATCGATGCTCCATTAGTACTTTTTTTTATTAGTGTATGTATTACTTCACGAATTCACAGTTATCCGCTCCAAAACCACAATCATAACCACAATCATCTAAGATTAACTCTTGAGCCCGTTGGGCGTGAACCTTCCAATTCGTCCGAACCAACACGAAAAACATGGCAACCACACACGAACCTTGGGCTGTTAGCAACCCGAGCCACAAACCTTTGAATCCAAACCCCAACTTAAACCCCAACCATAAAGCCACAGGCATACCCACCAAATAAAAGCTTCCAAGGTTAACAATTGCACCTAATTTGGGCCTAGCAAGCCCCCTTAAAACCCCACATCCTGTAGTTTGTGGGCAATTTCCTAGCTCACAAAGGCCAATTATGGGCAAAACTATTGAAGTTAGTGCTATAATTTCCACGTCTTTGGTAAAAAAACTTGCCCATTTTTTTCTTACCATGATTGTAAAAATAAGTGCACAAAATCCAAGTATGAAGCTAAAAAAGAGGCCTATAATTGTTGAAAGTTTTGCCGTTTTTGGTTGGTTTGCACCCAATTCATTTCCCACCCTAGTTGATACACTTAAACTTAGGGATGATGGGAAAATGTACATTAATGCTGTGGTTTGGATCAAAATTCCCATTGATGCAACAGTAGCTTGAGGATTAGACAATAACCCACACAGTAAAATCATGATTTCATACCACCACCATTCTAAGCATACCGAAATGCAACTTGGGATGGCTAGGTTGATAAGGGCCTTCCACCCTCGAACACATTCGCTTGTGATTGTGCACCAAGTGTTTTTATAGATGCCTGAGAAAATAATGTAAATGATAAGTGATCCTACTAGGTTGAAATTGGTTAACACCCCACTTAAGGCAACCCCTTTTGCACCAAGGTTAAGGTGTATAACAAGGAAGTAGTTGATGGGCATGTGGAGGAGGATTGCTAGAGCGGCACAACATGTTAGGGGTAGTGTTATGGATTGAGTTCGTAGGTAGATTCGTATTGGATGAAGGAGTGATTGAGCAATGAGGTCAGGAAGAGTGAAAAGAATGTAAGATTGAGCCTCATTAGCAATGTTTTCATCTTGGTGGCAAAAGAGCAAGATTTTTTTCATGTTGAGCCAAAGGAAAGAAATGGGTATTGATGCTAAGAGGAGTAGGAGGATTGTTTTTTGCAAGACTAAGCCTAGGAGTTTGTATCTTTTAGCCCCAAAGGCTTGGCCACAAATGGGTTCCATTCCCATGGCAAGGCCAGAGAGAATCGAGTAGCCGGTTATGTTGGCAAACCCTATGGCTAGAGATCCACCGGCTAAAACGAGATCTCCAATTTGGCCTAGGAAGAGCATGGAAATCATGGAGCGCGAGTAAAGAAGAAGGCCGGTTAAGACTAAAGGAAGTGCTAATCTAGTGATTAACCTTGCTTCATTTAAAGCAAGCATAAGCTGAGTTCGTGAGATTTGATGATGTTCATGTTGCTTTTGTTGGTAAGGTATTGGTGTTTTGTTGGCTAGCAAAGGCTCATGGATTATGTTGGTGGATTCTTTTTCATGAGTTTTAGTTGTGTAGGAAGACATGACTTTAGAGCTTGATGGGAAACAAAGAATGGCTTTGTCATGGGATGAATTGGGAGGGAGTCATATGGTTTTATATGAGTTCTTTTTGTCTTTTTCCTTCTTTGTTTTTTTTTTCAAAAAAAAAGACATAATTTAATTCTATTCTAATTTGAAGTATCTTTGGTGTTTACATTGCCAACGTGGTTAAAAAAAATCATTTAGTCTATAGTACATTAGTTCATCACATCAAATTAGCAACCTCCTTGCATTCTCATATATGCACCGGCCTTTCTCCCTGTCTAGAACTTAGACAAGTATCAATGCTCAAACTTTGTTCAACCTCTTATCATTAAACTATTGGTAATCAAAATTATTCTGAGTTGAAATGGGTTAAAATTTTAATTACGCTATACTAATCATAATGTGAAGCTACATTAGGTATTGTACTCTATACTTGAAATAAATTTTTATCTTATTTGATTTTATTTATTCTAAAATTTATTCAGAAATTTATATTATCCGAACTTACAAGAATGGATTAATCTTGAACTTATTTTATTGCTAAACTCATATATATACACTTATTAGCCCAACAAATTAAAGATGAAAATAAGGTAAGAAAAATGGTGAATTGAAAAATAAAGTGAGGAGAATATAGCCTTAGCCCTATTTGTTCACCTTATCTCCAATTTCTTTAGGAAACATAAGTTCTAGAGATAGAAGTTCGTGTTAATTCTCATAAGTGTAAAAAAGGGCTACACAAGAACGATTTAAGTAAAATAAGGTCTAATAAAATCTTGTAACTTGAGATGATGGGTTCAGGTTGCTTGGTTAGTTCAAATGAGTTTAATTAAGTGTACATGAGTGAAAATTAGATTAACTGAACTTGAAACACGATAAAGTGGAACATTAAGTGTTTTTAGTTAATCTTATTTCAGGTCTTTATTACTTATTACAGATTAGATCAGATAAATAAGTTCAGACTAGATCAGAAAAAGTAATTTCAGATAACACTTTATCGTTTTATTTGCGATTTCTTGTCACCAAATATCTTATTTTCATAATTAAAAAAAATATGAATATTATTTATTTAGGAAATGTACAGCAGTATAAATCTAATAAAACCCCATTTGATATTTTTTCCTATTATCCTTTTGTTGTTGGGCAGCCAAGCTAGATTACTTTGATCGTATTTTGCACCAAATTTCAACAGAATGCAATATATTCCTTACACATAGTCAAAAAATTTAGAAGTGTCTCTTTACCAACAAAGAAATCAAAGGTAATACAATAAATTTACCATGGAAAACAAAGTACTTGAATCTAGAAGAAACTCATAGGATTTGAAAAGTGTTAGGAAGACAAGATACACAAAGCTCGGAAGTCGTTATCTAGTTGACTTGTATAGTATGAAGGTTCTATTCAAATGACAATATTGCCCCTACCTAAATGGTGAAATTTCTAAAGTTTTTAGCTCTCATGTTGAAGGACCACTATTGAATAAAGCATTCTTGTGACTCTTTTCTTGTTGCATGGGACATTTGTGTAATGGTATGTATAGCTGTCAGTTTCTGACCCGAAACATTAAACTCGACTGTTTTAAACCGATTTGAAAAGAAACTGACCCGTTAAAAACTCATTTTTTGAAAATGAAAATCGATCCGACCTAATTTTTTCCAACTCAAAACTGAACTGAACCGAAGTTGTACAAACCGTTAATAACCCGACCCGTTATCAAGTTAAACCATTACAACCGAAAACCGAAAGTAACTCAAACCGATTATGTCCGAACCCGATAGTAACCCAACCCATTTTAAACCGAAAACGTTTAAACCCGGAAAAAATTCGATTAACCTAAACCATTCCAACCCGTAACCCGTTGTGACCGAACCATTTATAACTTGTAACCCATTAGGACCGAACCGTTTACAACCCATAACCCGTTGAAACCGAACTGTTTACAAACCGTAATCCATTAAGACTGAGCCATTTACAACTCGTAACCTAATATGTTTATGATCTGATCCGTTTCCACCCACTACTCGATAAACCCAACTTATTTAAGACTTAACTCGATTATAACCTAACCCATTCATACCCATTATCTGATTAACCAGACTCGATAATGATCTGACTCGATTTTAACCTGATATAAATTAAACTGAAACACGCTTCATATTGGTTAAAATTGTTTCCAAACGAACCTTATTCAATCCAAACCGATCATGACCTTAACCAATAATGACCCGACTCGATTTCATCCGATCCGTTTTGAACCGAAACCTGTTTTCAAACCAACCTAATTTAATCCAAAGTAATTATGACCCGAACCGATTACATTCTGACTCGATTAAGACCCAAACTGTTTTGAACCAAAACTCGCTTTAAACTGGCTAAACCCATTTTCTAACCGACCCGGTTTAACCCAAACTAATTATGACCCGAACCGATTACAACCTGATCCGATTAGGACCTGACCCGAATAGAAACCGCTATTAAACAACCAAACTGAATTGACCCGATAATTTTCAAAACCGACCCGCTAATCATTTCAATCCGTTATAAACTAATCCGTTATAACCCGAAACCGATAAATCCAACTCGAAAGTGAACCGTTTACCCGAATTGACACCCCTAAAGGTATGTCATGTTTCATGCTGATATACGTAAGTTGTTATAAGCAACTTTTTAATCTTCACAAGTTCACAGTAAAGTGGTTGAATTATTTGAAAGGGGAGATTAATTAGTATCTTGGTTAACTTTGACAAATGAGACTAATTAAGAGAGGAGGATAAATCGTGTGATCCTTGCATGGGATTTGATTTTTCAAATAAAATTAATGAATATGCATGAATTAAATTATTCTTACGTGTCTAAAGCTCTTGGAAAAATTGAGATTGACATTTAATTTGTTTTGTAGTGGCTAGGTTTATTTGGGAAAGAAATCTACTTTACCACACATGTATCTGGGCGAGTTACTCATTTTAGTTTTATCTTGTTGCAGGAAGGAAAGGTTGCCCATTGATTATTAGATGTAACAATGCCCACCTAGCTACTTGCACTCGTAATGAACTATTGTTAAATTCTTCGTAATTACTGGCAATAATAGTATTATATTGATACATATTTTACAAATTAAGCTTATGACAAAAGAAAGTTTGACCCTATAACGACTTGCGAAATTACACCTAAAACTATAAAATAATAAGTTAAAGGTGACTCAATATGAAATAGTTAGTCCCAACTCACATCACGGTAATTTTCTTAACAAAATACATGTACTATCTAAACAAGAGATTTTTAGTACACCAAAACTAGGGGTCAAGTAAGGGTGGAGTTTATAAAAAGCTTACCTCAAATATATTTGCATGAGAGGGAAGATATGTACGGACAAGTAGGACCCCCACCTCTCCAATTAAAATATGTGTGTATTTTCAACAAAAACATTGGAATCAAGTGTGGGCTAATGGGTCATCCTATCTATGGGTTTGATATTCAACCCCATACATGATTAATAATAATAGTAATTTTTTATTCAACATATCTATACTCTATATATGCTAAAGTGAAACTTTATTTTGGTAGACTTTTCCTTCTTAAATTTTACCTATCTATTCTTCATTTTCTTCTTCTTCTTCTTCTTCTACTCTCTCTCTCCTGAATGAAATAGGAAGGGGTGATTTCATTAAATAATAATAGTCATTCGACACTTACAATCATCCCTCATGAGATCTAAATTCTCAATACGAGTATTTAACACCTCTAAACTAATGGCATCGCTTTTGAACTGCTCCTGAATAATTTTAGATGTCTTTGCATCGTTCTTGACGGAGCTCCATTGATGTATAATCGCGAAAGTGATAAAACTTGATTGGTCATCAAGATCAACAAATTTGCAAGACGAATCTTCTCATTCTGCACTCCTAAACCAATAGACCCGCAATTCCACAAATTTACAAGACAACGAATCTTCCAAACTTGTATCCCTGCACACACGAAAAACAAACAAACGAACAATACTAACAATAATTCCACCATTAGGGAACTGACTAAACCCTAAATGGAGGGACTGACTATAATCACCATATTGTTGGTGATCTATATTGGCTAAAAACATTAAATTGAAGAAGAACTTGGGGCTTACCATCGATAAAAATCGATGGCAGCTCCTAAGTTTTACTATGGTGGCTAGGTTTGAAGAGAGTGAACAGAGAAGTTTTTAGGGTTTTTACCTCTCTTTTCTTCAGTTAAATTTAATTAGTCTACTTTAAAAAAATAATTTTATATTTCCTCACAAATATTTATGAAAAAACTACAACCAATAAACTAAATAGGTATTTTTGTTATGAATTTAAAGAGAAAGAGAAGAATTTAGGGGAGAGAATAGATCTATATCCTTATTACTCAATGATGTAGGAGTATATATATATATATATATACACACACACACACACACACATGTGATACAATTAGGGTTTCCTTGTAGAATAAAAAACATAGTATATCTAGAATATCCTAGAATTATCATAAGGGTATAATGGGCATCCACTAGATACATATATTATACAACACTCTCCCTTGAATAACCATTATCGAATAGTGTGCCTCATTAAAACCTTACTAGGATAAATCCGAAGGGATAAAAACCTAGTGAAGGAAAAAGAGTACAACACTATCGTAATACACCTTGACATGCTGCCTCGTTAAAAACTTACCAGGAAAACCCAATGTGGGACAAAACCATGGTTAAGGAAAAAAGAGTGCAGCGCGTATTTTCTCCCCCTGATGAATGCATAACTTGAGATCTTCCAATGTAATGATCCAATGCCTTAGTAACTTCATACTTGTAGCTGAATATCATTACTTGATAGTTGATCCTCCCTGATATATCAAACTTGAATCTTCTAATCTTTACTGTGAGACATTTTCATTTCTCCACACTTGTGAGAACAATATCTATGTTGCGTTTACCACTATCTTATATGACATTTTTGTTTCCAGTTGCCTTACCATCAGAATTATACCTACTTCTAGAGGTCGTTAAAGTAGCTATTGATAATCAAATATTGATAATAATAATTTATGGCAACTAGTGATATCTTGATATCATTATCTAAGTTTATATGAATTAGTAATATATAACATAAGTAATTATTACATACTTTACTCATGGTTCTTTTGGACCATAAGAAGATGATTCTGATTATAATATATCTCATTACTATTCTTCTTTAGACATTTTGCATTTTATACGAGAGTTCTCCAATGTGTACAAAATTGATTAACTCTC